AGCATTAGACATCCACAATCATAATTCAAACAGTTCTTTTATTTGATGGTCTAATTTATACAAGGACAGACCCTTCCATATGCCGATCTCATAACAGGATATGTATAAAATTCTGAAGAACTTAATGTTATATAAAAAAATATTACATTACATAGGCGGCTACGGACATTGAACGCAAGATCAACTCTATCCATCGATATTCAATTGCAGTTGACTACGGGTATTATGCCAACGGTTTCATACCGCATTCGCGCTTTTCTTTAGAGTCATGTAACTTGAGATACGCACCATCCGATTTTGCTTACCGCGACACCATTATTGACCAATGGACTTCAGTATGATTTCATTGCGGAACCTCATTTAAATATGGCTCCAGAACGAGCAACAATTACATTACACGATGTCTATTTATATATTTTTTGTCGTAACAATGATAGAATAATCTTATTGCGCTTGATCGTACAAATTTACAAGTCAAATATCAAAGGTGTAAGAAACTAGCCTATTACGACACCCTTATATTTGTGCCTATTTATACACATACATTGGCTTTCGGCTTGTGTTATGACGAGAAACTATATTTTATGATCTATGTGACCATAAATGTCGTCACACCCACATTAATATTCTCAAGTTTTATTTTTGATAAAAACATAACTACAGAGTAGTCTAAATGCTTTTTTGCCGCGGGTAAAACAAACACGGGTTTGTAATCCTTCGCATAGGTGATGTAGTACAAACTGTATCTTGTCTTTTCGAAAAAATAAAGTAAATTTGACGGTCTGGTATTTAGCCGGGTTTCATCCTTAGACACGGTCGATGACCGGCTGGATGCTTGAGCGTCAACTTGACTTCATTTTATTCAAAGACAATATCGATGCATACTCATTTTTATCTTAGATTCGCAATTACTCGTACAAGGACGTTATTACCGTTTAAACGCGTCATTAGTAACGACACTTCTAGGTCCCTTTGCATCAACTGAAGCAGACCAGTCTGTGGTTGCCGAGATCGTGGCATCATTTTTATTGGACGCGACTGGATCGAAACCATTTGTATACAACTAATAAATCATCGAATTTTAGAACCATGTTCGCAGACAAAGTTACATAATTCCGTCTTCACATGTTGTGATGTGGCGTATCTTTTAAGAAATGCTGTCAGCTTTCATTGTATGCACTTTGCAAGGGCCAGTCGTCCACTAATATTTTGTGCAAACGGCAGGATATGTAAGCATGTTTTTAGCAGCACGAACTTGTTTGAGTATCTAGCCGGGTCGTAGCTCCCAAAATCGAGTGGAAAAGGGCCAGTTGCCATACAATGTTTTTTGTGAAAAAATAAACACGGATGTATTATTGCACTAGAGATCAAGCAAATGGAAGTTACGCAGATTAATATGAAACACGTATTCATATCTCTAGCGCGGCAACCTCAAATATTTGCGAGAATATTGCTGCGTCTTTTTGTCGATGTTCTCAATAATAACTGGATCTTGTGGGATCGTATGTATTCTCGTAAAGCCGTTTATTACAATAATGTAGATGTATATTCGTCATTCACCTGCAATTGATCGTAGAGCTGTGAATTCAAGACTGCAGGTCTTTTCTTTACGTATATAAATGGTTGGCTGAAATAGATGTCCATGCCGTTATACATCCGTTGATTTGGTAATTTGCCTTGATCATGCGAGAAGAGAGGAAGGCGGCCTCAAGCGATTATGTATAAGGATAATCTATGAATGAGCAATTAATGTAGCACACAGTATATTGGACTGCCTATGTCGAACAGCATGGTTAGCGTAATAGAATGAGATCATTCTAAAATCAGAATGAAAGACTTTCACAGGTCTATCAGAATAGTGTTTGGCCTGACGGCCTTCTTCGATCTTTAGTGTAGCTCGACGCAAGACTACAACATCCAAAAATCTTTTGCTTGCTTTCCTTGCGAAGAGATGGTAAGTCATCATCGGAAACACTTATTACCTCGCTTCACACAGATGGATCAAATCAAAATGAAATAAGCCAGACACGTGATCCACCATTGTGGCCAATGTTGGACAAAAGAGGCTGGACAGCAGCGTGCATACATTACTTGCAATTTAAGCAAAATATTAGATTATGTCGAAATGCATCATCTAGCATGGGATATGTGGGATGTCGGGTTGAATACGTCGTAGTGCGGACACGTCTTTTGCGTAAATAAACAAATGAACAGGAGCGCGTTTTTTCAATGCATAATGATATTACTGAGGTGTATTAGATGCTCGCAACAAGCACAGATAATGTATTTATATATAAATTGTTTTTCATTATTACGTGAAATTTGTAGATGGTTATTGCGTAACGTGCTGTGCAAAAATAGATCGTTAATGCCCTTCACTCACAAGCAACAGCATGTAGTCGCGCGATTCGTATTATCCTTAGTGCTGGTAGTGCTGCGAGATATTGTATCGCCGAAGGCGTGGAGTCCATACGTTGATATTAACGACACATCCATCGGAACGATTTGTACATCTGTAGTCATATGAAGCTGTCACTGCCAGTGCACTCCATACAGTACACAACACATTCAGCTCGTTGAGTAGCAGGTAGTGTGATTGACCAGCTTTCAGAAACGGTTTGAGGCTCCGTACGTATCAGTCTATCATACGCGTAGACACGATACTTGTGTAGAATGTGCTCAAGCGTCTCCTTTATGAAGTACATGACACTAGGGCGGTGCGAAGTGAGTGAGTGTCCTTTGCCCTGGCCATGGTAGTAGTTATATACAGCCGATAAAATCGGTTTAGTGGCAGTATTGTCTGCGCAACGTCATTCTTGACTGTCGTTTGATGACGAAAGGCACAGTAGGGTAACTAAGAATTTCATCTGTTCTTTACCATGCGACTGCAGAACGAAGTGACAGTGTAACTCATGTCGACGCGCTAATTTGCCGCTTGCAGCCATTGACCCTGCTCGCCGCTTTGTACTCGGGTAGGTAAGCTGACCGCATTTGTAATCGATACAGTCATGGAAGCATGTACGTCTAACGAGAGAGCATGAAGCGGGTGTGACGAAACAAATCATTTACATTTTGTAAGACGATTCCGAGATCCAAGACAACTTCTTGTGTCGCGATGTTTTATAAATAGGGGAGTTCAATACCAAGAACTACAAGCTGGTATCCGCAACTAGTGAGCTATATCACATCTACGACCGCTCTCGAGGGTGTTTCGAACCTACCACGTACGACATTGACTCCTTGTATGACCGATCTTTGCAACTTCCACGATACTGCTCTTTGCTAACATACGAATACAGTTCAGTTCCCGCTCTACGCGTGTATGCTGGTATCGATGGGACTCAAGACCCCGATGACAAGTCCCAGCACCATTGAATCTTAGTACTTTATCCAAGTGCCGACAATAACAGCTGCTACAAGCTCGCTAGTAATCATCTCTGCTTTTCGCCGATGTGTCGCTCGAGCGCGCGTGCGATCAGTCGTTCCTCTCCTTCGCATGCACTTCTCTCGAACCCCATGGAAACATTCTTTGTGGAATGCAGTGGCAACCGCATCTCGTTCCTACCTCTTTACGCACATCGATATGCGGCCTCGATAGAATGACTTTGGCATGCACGTTTGACTGGAGCGGACTGATGGCAACGCATACGTCCTGATCAGTTGATATTGAAGTATGGGGATGGTGTGTAAGCGTGGGGATGGCGGGGATGGTACTTTCGCGCACAAAGGCACAGTACGGCAAAACATCACTTAGCGATTGCAATTTCTGCGAAGATTGTGCGGCGACGAAGGTCCGCTTGTGTACCGTCTTCGTCTGCTTGGCGAGCGGTGGCACATGCTGGTCTGACGGTGCACTACGATTTGCTTACTTCAACATCTCAGCTGTGGCCACCGTAGACGCGACACTAAAAATGAGGTTGATACAAGAACCCGCAACGCGTACGCCTGCCCACCAAAACAAAGTGGCATGGCCCAGGGGACTCTACGCAACAAGACGTGGGCTATCGTGAAAGGCCAATACCGATGGCACGACCAAGCCACCCTATGCTCCCACCTATAGTGCTCACCATAGTGATTGCATAAGTTTCTGGGCGCATTGACATTGCATAAGAGCCAGAGTGTAGGCCAAAAGTTTTGCGATTGAAGTCCAGGCAGCAACGCTGACGTTGAACTTCCCTGCAAAGAAGACAGATGGTTCGCGCTTACCAACTGCCACGTCGCCTGCGTCGCGCTTCAAGTCCATCATGGCTGGATGTACGCGTTCAATGCGGGTGCCTTTTTCGCGTAAAAGTGTTATTCCGTCACTAATGCGTTTGTTCCAACTGCTAACCCAGTAGCATTGCCTCGACCCATTGTGTATCTACATGTCGATACCAGTGTTTTTACCTCATAAAAGCTGAAAAAACGTTTTGGCCCTCTCGATAGTGGATACCACGGGTTTCGTCTCCGTCATCGAACCGCGTGGACGTCGTCAGACAGCCACAAAACACAGTCATCGTCTTGACGGCGAACCACGGGCGTGTCAGCCAACGTCAGTGTCCGCGAATGTGCCCTTCCATCGTTCTTATCGTCGTGGCTTTCGAGCATGTGCGAAACGTTCGATTTTGTCATCAAGTCGTTTTTGCGGTGTAGTAGTACCCTGCGCATTAATCTATCGCAATATTGTGCCCAAGAGCGAGTGCACGAGTGGGTTGACTGGACCTCCGAGCCGGAGTGGTAGTAGTAGCAGTCGTCGGGTTTATGCTCCTCGTGGTGGAATTTTGGATAAGTCATACTCCTCGGCAGCAAATTCGCCTCACGATTCCTTGTTCCGTTTAGTTTGAACTTGGCGCGAGACCGCCGAGCGTCACATCTGTGGGGGATGCCAACTTCACTTTGCAATCTGCGTGTACAAACGTCGTGGCTTCTCTCTCGTAAAGACAAGTGACACGGGCTCATTGTTACTCATTGTCACCAGGCAGTACCTTGTAGACGCACATTGTCTAGCTACAATTTGCATGATGGACACAGCGATCGCGCCTCAGCTGAGCAGTTGTGTCTTTTTGTGGGAGCGGCTACCGCTAGTACCCTCGACCATCGTGTCCTCGTCGAAAAGCAGCCTTGTGCGTCTGCCCAGCTTATCCAGTATGACGACGGTCTCGACTGCACGATCCGACCCGACCAGCACCGTCGGATCGTCGCCACAGTTCGTGGCCTTGAACGACATTGTATCGCCACCCAATGAACTGGGCCTCGCACGTCTGCCAGCCATCAGCTTCATGGTCAACCGTGACGCAAGTCCCAAGAGCAATTACAGTCCCGTGAACAAGGAGAGCACAGACTTATGGAAGCAGTACCACGACACCACGAACGCGTGGCTGCAATTGCCAGAGCAACCGCACCATAACGTTCGAGCTGACGCTACTTGCAGGCAGCAACCGATGCCAACGATCGCGCTGTCGCCCGACTGCTCGAACACGTGTGATCGAGCCAAGCGCACCGCCGCTGCCAAACTTTGCGGGAAGACAGATTGCAACAAGCGTGCCAAAGCCGGGGGCTTTTGCATCTCCCACGGCGGCGGCTTGCGCTGTATCAACGCGCACTGCACGAAACACGCACTAAGTCTCGGTCTGTGCATCCGGCACGGCGGCGGCAAGCGATGCACTGTGGAGGGCTGTTACAATGCATCTCGAAAGGCCGGTGTGTGCTGGAGCCACGGCGGCAAGCGTCAGTGCAAGGTCGAGGGATGCAACAAAGGACCCAAGACCGGCGGCTACTGCTGGCGTCACGGTAGCAAGATGAAGAACAAGGCGGCTGCAGTGTGAACGCGAGACAAGGCATTCGTCGTTTCGACATCTTCAGCGTCGCATGTACTGGGTGTACACGGCATATTAACGTCTTCGTGTGAGTGTAAAAGCAGCTATTCTATCGGTCACGCGAACTACCGCAAAGAATCCGCGATGGTGGTCGCTTCCGACCTAGAAACTACGGCATGTGCATGTGTAGCGGCTTTAGTAACAATGTATGTGAATGACAGCAGTGCAAATGAACGTGTCGTATGCGTTCCTCCCCTCGAAGCGGAGTTTCCACATGACCTCAACTCACGAATGTTTATAGTTATTCACATGTCTGGTGCTGCAAGTGATTCCGACCTCTTTTTTCTGAGCCCTAAGCACCGTTTTACGGTATCGTATTTACAGCGTCAACTGCTTTCGTTACAGAAACATGCGGTGTGAGCAGAACGAGTGATGAGGCAGTTACATAGAGTGGGCAGCGCGACTTTCTATCGGTGCGAGTGACCGACCGTCAAGAATGATTGCGTGCACCCTCAAGCTCGAGAGAACCGGCGCTTTTGCTTCCCGTATGTTGCGATACTCTCCCGAATTCAAGCGATGAAAGCCGCAGGTGAGTTAGCATTCTGCAGTAGTTGTCAAAGTTGTCGACTGATCGGTACTTGAAGTCAAGTAGCAGAGGAGAGGCCACAACATTATTGCGACAGATCTTATCATCGAGGAATTCAGGTCACAACAGCTAATGTTTTACGTGTTAGGGCCGCCAGATACTATTCTGACATTTTCTAATCTCGCAACACATTGCTGCGTGTATTGCCACTTTCTCAGCCGCAAAGGGTAGCTCTACGCAGCGCTAGCACATTGCTGAAGGGTGCTCAATCTCTACTGACGTAGGTTGAAACACAGACTTGCACATACTACTACATTAGCTTGGTAAGTACACACCGCATCGATCAGCAAACGTGTGGTATACGTCATTATCGTCACGCGTGTTGTTATACTACTCAGAGCGCTTCAACCGTTCTCTTTCTAGCTACGTATACTACAGCGTCTTTCGTACAGGAGTTAATGATGCTCACTGCAAGGGCCTTTCAGGTCGTCAGCATTCACAGAATGGAAGAAAGATGGTATTTGGCGATCCATTGCACCAAGACTATTAGAACTGAAAAGATCATCGACAGTATATCTTTGATGATTCACTGCACTCGTCGAGTACTGGAATAAAGAGCGCTTTTAGATAAATAACACCACAATCGTGCAAGTCGAGGATTTAGCTTACGTTCAGCTTGTCTGTCTCACGTCTGCAGCTTGGCAGGTGGGTCAGAGCAGGGGGTTGATAAGCATTAGTACACCAATGGCGCTATCACATGAGCTCGTATACCAATTACAACTATTTTATGTTAATCAAGTCTGTCTGTCCATCGATACAAATTGGACTGTTTTACGCGCGGTGCTTTCCATACGATTGCCAGTTTAAACAATGTGCTTCTGCTTCGTTCATCGCAAGCATGATGACCATCGTTTGTATACCCACAAGTACTACATGTACCTCACACATGTACTACTTTCTCTATGACCCCAAGTATCTGCGGATGCTGTGAATGCGCGGCGGCTTGTATGTTTCACGTGAGAATGTGTGCTCGATACATAAGCGCTTGCTCATCGTTCATATATACAGCAATTGTAAGTCTTGTTGATAATCTTTGCTCGATGCTCTTTCTATTATCGACCGAGGTTTATGCTTCTCGTTGCAAGAAGGGTATAGATGCCAACCGTGTTGAGAGGACCGGGTCATTTACATGCAAAGGATGAAGCATCATCACACTGCATGTGGCAGGTAGATTCTGTAGCGTGCTCTTCCATACAGCAAAACAAGCCATCGGTCAGCAGTAAGCGATATAGCAGTCAGGTGTAGAGAATCACGATATCACTTAGGACTGATTCGGCTTATAAGCAGTAGACATCCTTTTACGTTATTTATCGACAGTCAACTCCGCACGAATTTAGACGAGTCGTACGGTCTACGCCTTGATATATAACTCTTTATCACAACCCCGTACATCTTGAAGGGTTTCTGTACAACAATCCTCGCTTTAAATACCCACCATACGACTTTTGCGACAAATAACGCACAAAGAAGCAGTTGCAGCGATCAAAGTCGTCGAATGGTTCAGCGACAAGATATCTTTACCAAGGTCTAATTTGCGTATCAATATAAAAGCTTTATTGTAGTACTTTCGTAAGCCGAGGTTCATTAAAACGATCCCTAAAAATGATTCATAGACAAAATAATCTACATTCAACATCATCAACTCATCAAAACAATTGTACAGAACTATTTACAAAACATGCAATAAATGATTGGCAAATGAAAAGACACCGAATTAATAAACAAGTAAATTATATGCGCCAGCGATGTTTATTGGTAGAGTGAGCATATTTATAATTGCCGAAAACGACAACGATAGTGAGAGAGCTCACCCGACGATCGCCGGGTGTTGGATAGGCCGTCCACTAAACACTTTCCATTCAACCATGAATGGCGAGCGGTACGCAACATCGTTCTCGTAGAAATAGCAGGATTTACAAGGCGAGCATCATCATCATATTTTGTTCGTGCAAGTAGACCGACATCGCGATGCATGATGCATTTGATTATACCATTACCATATCGGATTCGTCGCGCTTAGTACCGAGTTGTCGTATTGCGTCAATATATATCAGACATATACCTTTTCCTTAATCATGATAGAGTCGTAATGCATGATTACAGGGTTGTTATACGAATCTGTTGTCATTGTGCGGTCTCTATATAAGTGGGCAAAGGGTACATGCGTACTTGATTACGAATGCTCTCGCTACTCAGATAAAAGAATGAGTAAGATATCGTCAGCTAGATATATGCAAGACAAAAACGTTGTATAAGGATCGACAAGGTGCTCCCACTTGTTTATTCGGTTTCTTTTTTTGCATGTTCACACCGCATCCACCATCTCAATTCCTGTAGACAGTTATTGGATTGATCAAATCAATAATAAAACAATGAACGGCTTATGATAATATATCGTCACATGCTATCACAATATGCATCATTTTTAGCCTGAACTGATAAAGTCATGAAGGGGTTAGTTCATCTGTTTACGGCATCCAGCTAGTAATTTTGAGCGCTTGTAATTACTCATGCTTTGGTTGCAGTATGGACGCTCGTCGTGCATTCAACTCTTTTGCTGTACGTTTCGTATTGTTCGCAGCTCAATCAAAAGCTCGAACTTATGGCGGCTTAAATGGAATACGAAGTGTGTAGTCAACTCTGCATGTAAAAGATAATCAAGAGCAATAGAAACTAGTAAGCAACAGTACGTTTTAGCATCTCACAGGTTATTGCACCCACAAGACCTAAGAAAGGTTTTCATGCTATTCTTTATGCGGAAGGCTCTGTTGTCCAGTTGCCAAATGAGTTCTACGTCCAAAATGACGGTCGGATTGGCATTCATACTCTCAGCATAAAGCTTCATGAGCACCTGCAATAGCATCAAAACGTTTTTGGTAGCGATAAATCTTATCTACTCTTTTTGCTTGCCTATACGTCATTTCATGTTGCCTCGAATCTCAGTTGAACATACATATAAGTCGCTAAACAAGTTTATCGCTTAAAAGCTTTGTGCAAGCATCAGCGTTTTGATTCCACACAAATCTCTTGCTCATTTTTTGCTCAGCATGACGGTTTCCTTCTCGACGCCTTCGCATGCATATGGCTATCATTCACACGTTGCGCTCGTCGACTAAAACGATGATATTACATATAACAGCTTGTGCTAAATTGAGCCGATAATATGGAAGATGTTGACGACATGTGGTCTGTAAAAGGCTTCATATTTAGTGTACAAAGGTCACGTAGAGAATATAATTGCTTGTCAAAAGTGGGTACAAACCGATTGTACACAATGCCAAGTTCCGATCAGATGTTTTCAGATTGTAGAGATGTAGCAAAAGCGTACTCGAATTGATACTATTCGTGCCAATTTATCATTTTTTTCACCTATCAGGATGGCAATCTACACAAAAGACCTCACCTGTGCAACGACATCAGTTTTTAAACAATCTTTTAGCGTGGCTTTACTTCAACGATTAGATTGCGTTATTTATGGCAATGAACCGACGAAATTGTGCACAATGAAGCATCCATGGCTGCAGCACTATTAAGCATTTACAAGGGTAAGACTTGGATGGAGAAAAGAAATAGACGTCATGACCTTTGCTACAAAATCAAGATCGCATTTATTACATCAGCCCTGTAGTTTATTGCTAGCATTATTTCGTTTGGTTACTTCTATCGCAATTATTTTTACAATTATGTAGCCCTAAATTTCTGCCATCGTTGCACATCATCAAGTACACGAAATGTTTGTGTGGACGCAGTCTAGCTTTCACATATAATACTATAAACATACCAGTGCTGCGGCAAGACTTCAATGCTGACAGGCGCATTGTGTGTAACAGATCTCGCATCAGAGGCGAGACACACGAGCATTGTATGAACCACCCGGTATGGAAATAATATGTCACAAACTCGTTTGCACAGGTTGTTGTATCATGCTGAGGAGAGGATATTTAGTGCGGACCGCATGCGGAATAATGTTCCAAAGATGTGTGCATAAATTGTTTTATGTTATCTTGGTATTCTTTATATTTCAAGTCGAGATGTTGTGCCGAATGGCGTCAGAAACAATATAATGTTCATCATATACATATCTAAAGATCTTGTACTGCGTGTGTATGTTGCTTAATTTGTATAAGCGGTCATTTCGCTGATCCATTATTGTTGATTAGATAAATATATTCGCAAGTAACTCGTCACACAGGTAGAATACTGTCGAAAGATCGGAATGTGTATATGTCGATAACACATTAATGGCAGCAATAATACCATTTTGCGAATAAGAACACAGATGGAATTGCCGTTTTGTCTTATACCGTAATAGCGAAACGAAAAGGGATCAACGAATTGACACATAAAAATGCATCACAAGCGA